GAGAAAACACGGGGGGGGGGGGGAAAAAAGGAGCCCAAACCTCAACCCGCTGGCCACCAGTGAAAATAAATTCCTTTTTAACTAACTAAAAAAGAAAGACTCGTTTTTTGTCCTGACCAGAAATAAACTATGTACGTAACCTTCCATTCTCTTCAAACAATACCTGTTATCTTAGATTTCGCAGCTTATGAACAATAGAACATGCCGAGCAGCACTCACCGTCTCATCAGCCAACTTTTCCAGCTGCTGGATATAAGGAGTGATGAGTGAATGGAGGTTGCTGAGAATCTCCTCCACCTGCAGGGCAGATAACAGGAAGCCCAGCGCCTGCATCAGCCACATACACTGACTGGTCTGGAAGAGAAGATGGATAATGATGAGGGTGGGCAGTGATAAAGTGACCCCCTCCCTTCATAAGACAATGGGGAGGGGGGGGGAGTGAAAATCATCCCCCATAAACATTTCACACCATGGAGACAAGACGAAATGTCTGAATTACCTTGTGAATCTGTTTCAGCAACACGTCCTGGAAAGTGAGAAGAGAAAAAATTTCAGTGAAGGAGTTACATCATATCCGTCTCCAGTACAGAGCTCCTCTACACCAAGGGAAGGCAAACGTTGGCCCTCAAGCTGTGTTGACATTACAACTCCCATCATGCTTCCAGGAGTCACGCCTCCAGCTGCCAGAGTCTTGCAATGGCTCATTGAACATACTCGCCTCCAGGACTTCTCTAGAGTCTCTCCCATCCTCTGGAACTCTTTACCCCAACCTGTCCGTCTATCTCCCACCCTGACTGTCTTTAGGCGTTCCCTAAAGACTCTTCTCCTCAGGGAAGCAGATCCCACCTCAACCCAACCACTGAACCATCACATTCTCAAACAATTCATCCCGACACAGCTACCTCCTCATATATCACTTCCCCCTTCTCTTTCAGAATGTAAGCCCCCAGGGGCAGGGCCCCCCTTACCATCCTGTCTTGTATTGTAATGTCTTTCTTACATTGTAAAGCGCTGCGCAAACTGTTGGCGCTATATAAATCCTATTTAGAAAGACTGGAGGAGCTTTTAAACTAGGAAGTGGAGGGGGAGGGTATAAAAATAAAATTACTTAAACTAAACGTTGATAATTTAAATCGTAGATAAAAATAACACAGAAAGTAGTAAAAAAGGAGTTAATAATAGTGGGCTCACTCCATTCAATATAGGAAATCCGTTGGCACATGTAAGTATAACTACCAACGGACGACCGAAATCAAGGCAGAATAATAACAATAAAAATAGTGGGGAACAACAAGGTAGTAAACTTTTGTCCCACAAAAAGAGAGGAATGAAATGTATGTACACCAATGCTAGAAGTCTGGCAAATAAAATAGAGGAGCTTGAAATTAGGTTAATTGAAGAGGACTTCGATATAGTGGGTATAGCGGAAACCTGGCTGGACAGCACGCATGACTGGGCTACTAATATAGAGGGGTATAACCTGTTTAGGAGGGACAGAGGGGGGAGAAGGGGGGGGGGCGTTTGCATTTACGTAAAAAATAATCTAAATGTGCATACAAGGGACGATATCGCGTCAAATAATGGGGAAGCGGTGGAAACCCTATGGCTGGAGCTAGATATGACGGACCCTAGCCGTAAACTTCTCGTGGGTATTTGCTATAAACCTCCAAATATAGGGGAAGAGGGAGAAGTCAATCTTCACTCACAGATAGGAATAGCTGGAAGAGAGGGCAATGTAGTCGTGATGGGTGACTTCAATTACCCAGACATCAATTGGGCCAATGGAACTTCGGGT